CTTGAAGTGTGGCTTTGCTTTGGGCAAATTCACTGACAGTGCAGACCTGCAAGCAGGTTTGGGATAGAGAAATGGGTCAAGAGGTTTGAAAATACTGTCTTAAATCAACTCATGCTGCGTGGTGACTTGGCTTAGCCATGGTTTCTGGTGAGCTCTGTGTGGGGAGAGTGTCATCCTCTTCCACTGTGCTGGTGTTAAACCCTGGTTTGGGGATGTGTCAGCCCATCCCTGCTCTGTGGCTTTGAGGGTCTTGTGGCAGTGAGGATGGAGACTGGCAGCCTTCAGAGTACCCACAGGAGGCAACAGAGTAGGATTAACTCAATCCAAGACTTCCCATTCTTCACTTGCGTCCTTGCTCTTCCTTTCCGTTGTGTTGGGCCTGAATTGCCAATGTCATGCAATTCTGGCAGCACTAAAGCTCAAACAGTAAGACTCTTCCTCCACGTGGTCCAGTGTCGAGTAGGGGTTTAGCAAATGACAGGTGACAGGAAAAAAAAAATCCTCTTCCTGTTTTAGCTAGTCACATTCAGTGGCTGTATTAATGTTCTACTTGCTTGTGGTTATCAGTGGAAATGGTTAGGATAAATGTGGAATTTGAGATTATTTTATAGACCAAAACATCAGAAACAAGCTTCAATTGTACTTTTATCCCTGAAAGCAGCCTAGGACTCCAGATTCTCCTTTTGGCAAATGATTGTTAGAAGTGAATTGAAGCCAGAAGCAAGTGCCCAATCTGCACATTTCTTCCACCATAATGCAGTATCTGTGTGGTGCAGGCAAAGCAGCAGGCTGCAGACTGTACTTCAAACTTTTCAAACCCATTTCAGAATCTTTATTGGGAAAAAAATAATCACAGCATCTCAACTGTTATTCAAACACATTTAATAAACAAAGAGAAACAGTAGCAAAGGGCACTGACATGTGACAAACTGTACAAAACCTCCGGGTAGGAGCCCATGGCCCGGCTACTCCGGCCCCTGCCCTGCAGCCAACCAGGCCCCCTTCGCCTCAGCCCACTCAGTCACCCCTGAGAAAAATCAGTTTTTAAAAATGTGCAGAAACAAAGACACTTCAAGAGGTTATTTCCAGTCTTGCCATAATGGAACAATTTAGGCCACTGGGAAAGTTTTAAAAAAAAAGTAAAGTGTCATACACTCCATTCCCAGGATTAATGCTTTAAAGTGAACCTTCCCAAGAGGCATAAGCACTCTTGGACAGGCAGATCTATCCCTGCTCTCCTACTCTACTCACAACATGCTACACTTTTTTAGAGTGAACGGGACAAATTTCATCCTGATTCAGCACTAATTTTGATAATGGTTGTGACTGAGTGAAAGGCAATGGAAGGAAAAGCCCTGTTTGAGCACAGAAGGGATGCAACTGGTGCATAATGCTGAGACCAGCCCTGTCTCGGGATAAAGGTGACTTAGCACAGTCAGGGAAGGAGAAATCCTTCACTGGGAATGTACCTGCTCTGGATGAACTTCATGCCTGGTCCTAAATATCACTCAAAAACTTGAGCATCCAATACCAATGACTGGTTTTCTACCATAAACTTGTTCCACTGAACTTCAAAGGACCCTGCAATGGAACCCAAAGAGTCCATGGTCCCCTGGCACCTTCTCACTGCCAAAAGCAGCACAAGAGAGAAAATCAAGATGCAACTCTGATCTTTCTTGTGCTCATCAGTTAAGCAGCTGTGCCATTCACCTGCTAATGGTCACTTTTAGGCTCTCTGTGGCTCAGAGGGGAGAGCAAGAGCGTCACTGCATCAGGCAAACCCTCCAGTGGGCTTCACCATGTGTGGCATTTTTGGTGACACAAAGAAGCCAGGGAAGTGTTTGTTATTCTTGTCTACTTGAGCTGTACTGGACAGAAAGTCTCCCTCTGCAGCCAGTGTTGCTTTGAGCTCTATGGTTTAACAAGGTGCTCAGCTGGCATCAATGTGACGAACACAGCCGTGACCCGTTCCTGTTGCCTCTGGTTTGGTATTTCTTGACCAGTTCCCAAAAACTCCCTCCTCTGAGGAAGGGGAATAAGACAAATGAGATTGTTAAAGCGCTTTTGAGGCTGCTAACTTGCATACATGTGCTTGATTTCTTAGCTATGAGCACAGAGAGTGGCTGAGGCTACAGCATGGGGACAGAGGAGGGAGATCTGTACACATCACAGTGTTGTTAGACCCAGCCAAGGTGTGTAGTCTGATCACACCAACACCAGCTCAACATGTTATAAACAGGGCAGATGGAGGGAAGCAGAGCTGGGTTTTTCAGTGTGATGGAAAGCCAGCTGTGATTCAACAGCCTGTCATTGACACAATGTGAATTCAAAGACATTTGGCACAGTCTGTTGTTACCAGGACCAATCTAGCACAGACAATTAACCAGTCTGTCTTGAGAATGAGGCAAGGGCTCCACCCGAGGTACACTGGCAAAGCAGGATGGAGGACAGGCAAGAGGACGTGCAGAAGGACTGGAGAGAGGCAGAACACAGCCGTGCCACTCAGTGTCTTTGCTGCACATCTTGGTCGCTGAACTGGTTGTTGGACTGTTGGTAGGACCCTCTCAGCAACAAGTGGTTAAGATGGAAAACCTACCTAATTCTGTGTCAAAACTTTCAGGAGAACATGGGTAGCTGAAGCCCTCCAGCAAGGAGCCCAACCCCTCAGTCCAGGTGAGGGATCTTCTGGTAGCTTATTGAGAAACATCTGCTCTGAGCTTGTCAATGTCTGAATTCCAGCATCTCCGAAGCTTTGCTGTAATGTCAGTTTGGGACTTGACTGAAAATGACCCAAGTGCCGGGACACTCAGGCTACAAAGAACAAAGCCAGGATGAAAGGGGAAAAACATGCAGCAAATTCCTATGAAATTCCATTTACCAGACTAGGAGGGACATGCCCTTGGTTAGGGGTGGCACAGAGTAACAGAGGGGAACCATGACTGCAGTTTGGCTAAGATTAGAATTCAAGAGAGGCACAAACGAACATTTTGCACATCCATCCAAGGCATTCCAAAAAAAAAAAAAAAAAGGAAAGAAAAGTCACAAAAGTTGACACATCACTTTGGACAAGAAACATTACAAGTTTGGCAACTTTTCACCAAACCCCCCCCGACCCCAGCTCTGTGATGTCCCTCTGTAATTTGAGGTGATCTCTTAAAGGTGGGGATGTGAGGGGGCTGCAGGTAAATCACTGTGTGTAAATAGGGGATCTCCTCCACAAAGGATCTTGTGGGGTCAGACAAGCCTACCTGCTTGGAACAGTACAAAAGAAATTCTGCCTGAAGCCCTCCTTGGTGAGAGGGAAGGAGACAGAGCCCACACTGCTGGAGACAAACAAGGCAAAGCTGAACTTGGCAGCAGCAAGTCCCTAAACCATGTAACTTTGCACCAGGCTAAGATATGGCCATGGCAGGGTACTGGGGGGGGGGGGGAAGATGTCACACTCTTCCTCTGTGGAGAAGTGTAAAGGATGGGATTATAACTCTATCACTATTTTGGGTGAACACAGGCCTCTTTGTTTATGCATACAAAGTGATGGGCTTTGGAAAATACCAGGAGCCCATGTGGAATAGTGTTACGAGTGAGACCTGTGTCAGATGGACACACAACTCTCCTCCCCTCAGATCTAAACTCAGCTCTTAGGAATTAAACAAGGAACAGATACAAAGCAAGGACAGAAAAGTTTGTGAGGGTTTTTTAGGAGTGGTTGTTTTGTTCCTCCTTTTAAAGCCCTGTTCTTCAGATCTGGGGGAGAAGGGGGGGAGCCCTGCAAGGTCCCTGCACTTTTCTGGTGGCAGACCTGGGTGCAAGCAATGGCACAGCTCAAATATGGACCTTCCCAACCACAGCAGCCTGTGGAAGGTGGGATTGACTACAAGGGCCTGGGGACCTGAGCAACCTTCACAAAGGCTCCGACTGGGAATCCAGCCCAGCCATTGTCGGAAAAATTCAATACAGCGCTGGCCAAGTAAATAAAACTAATACTTGTGAAAAGGACTGTCCAACTGGAAGAGTCTTTTCCCTTCTCGGTTTCCAGGGTAAGAGAAAAGCCTTTGGTTATGACCAGAATTATTTGCCGTTGGCAGGACAGGCTTGGCTTTGCGTTAGCTTGGTTACTGTACAAGGGCTGGGTTGCTCTGTGGAGAGATGCTCTGCCCAGCTGGACTGCCCTGTGACATCTGGGAGTTTAATGGAGTGGACACTTGAATTACATCCGGGATCCTCGCTCCTGAAGAATCTGAAACAGAAGATACCTTCTATGAAAACCTCAGACAAATTTAAATGCAAAAGCTCCTGTTCAGAGTCCTTGTTTTTTGCAGAGAAAGGAAGCATGGACTAACGTGAGAACAGCTTGCAGGCTTTTATGCCACCACAACAACTGATAGGCTGGTTAAGGGTAAGTGAGTGCCTTCTCTAGAAATCCTGCTCAGCTGCTTGCCAGGAAGTAAAGATGTTGCCTTTTGTTTTTATTCTGTGAAAAAAAAAAAGTGAATTCATAGAATAGTTTGGTTTGGAAGGGACTTTAAAATTTATCTTGTTTGACCCCTCTGCCATGGGCAAGGACATCTTCCACTAGACCAGCCTGCTCACAGTCCCATCCAGCCTGGCCTTGAACACTTCCAGGGATGGGGAGGATTGAAAGAGAACAAAAATCTTGTTTCTCCCTGCAACATCCTTCAACCACAAAACCTAACCTCAAAGGTCCTTGCTAATCTGTTCTCCCTCTTCAAGTTACTCTTTCCTTCAGTATTTTGGTCTTAATTTGAAGTGCACAAAGAGCCTTAGCTGTTGTCCTACAGTAAATCATGAAATCTTTCAAGAGGGGATAGAGAAGGCAATGGGAAAGCTGATCCACAGAACTACTGCTGCAGCTTGGTGCAGGAAAGGTTTTTCTTTCTAGGGGAATTCAAATAGATACATCTGAGCAGGTGCCTTACCTTGGCCTTCTCACTTGGCTCCTTGACAATGCCATTTGTAGAATTGTTGAGCTCCCTGGACACAACACAGAGGAATTCTGCCTGGTCTTCGTTTCCATAGTTATAGGAAGATCCAATGCTGATCAGCTGTGCAACAGGAGACAGCCAAGGTAACTATCAGTAAGTCTTGATTTTATTCCTACAGTTGGTGTGAGACAGGACTGTCCCAGGAGAGCTGTTCTGGACTGTGTCCCCTGCAGCCTCCTGTGTGTGTGTGTGTGTAAGGCAGGGACACATCCGAGCTCCACAGCCCTCTAGTGGCACCTGGAGCCCCGGGAAGGAATTCCAGCTTGAAACTAATGCTGAACACAGCAGAACACTGCTCAGTTTCTGAGGGTGCAAAAAGGGAAAACAGATTGTGCAATATATAATATCCAGTTCACTCAGACGTGGGCAGGCATTGCAAGTTGCCTGGTCCTTGCTGAACTCATCTCTCAAGTGCCTTGTGACTGATGTGGAAATGGGAATTCTTTACCCCAGGCAGATGTTGGATTAACTGGGGACATGTGGCAAACAGACACTGTCCTTTATTTGGATGCTGCCAAGATGGAGTCTGGTATCTGTGTAAACGGGATTATATTCTATTAGTGTTGTGCTGAGGGGATCTGGACTCAATCCAAGAAATCCCATCTGCCTCATTCATCATTATTACATTAAAAGGACATCCCGGAGTACAGAGTTAATTTGTCATTTACAACTCAGTTCTGCTTTCCAGAAAACAAATCCAAGTCATCTGAAGAAAGCATTCTGGTGACTCTTACCAACTGTGTGTGTCTGGGAAACTTTAATGTACAGCGTGCACCTAAACATGTCCTAATAGATTTTGGAAGAGCCAGCTCCATATTTATGGATCATAGATTTGAAAAGGAAGATTAGGAAAGATCTAACGGTGCAGGTTCCCATAAAAGGCACTGCCTGTAGCCTCAAGGTTTTGGGGGTGCAAATATGGATGTGTGAAAGGCAGATTCTGTAAACTGTTGGGACAGCAAAACCTGGGTGTTGGAGAACTGCGTTTTCATGGAGCAATGAGTGGTTCTTGGTCACAGGATTTCACAATTTCCTTACAGGGGCAGGTTTTTGGGCACCTCTCCACTCTGAGATAGTTTTCAGGCATTACAGAACAGATCCATAGGAACAACTGATGGGAAGTGCTGTTCCTAATCCTCTGCCTCACTTCATGTCAGCACACTTCCCACAGCATCCACCTGTACTGAAGCTGGACTAAATAGGAAGACACAGCTGTAATCCACAGACCCTATACTGTAGTTTCTTAATATAACAGAACACAACACCCAGGCCTGCTGGCTCCAATTCTCCCTCCTCAGAAATAAGAGAACTGTGTTTGATTCCAGAAACCAAATGTGGAACTAACTAATGCCATATGCAACTGCAGTGACACCCAGCCCTGGAACCAGCTGCACTGCAAGGGCATCTGCAGAAACTTCTCATGTCACTCTGAGCCTCTTTAGCAAATGCAGCAGTCATGGCTTTGAGGTTCCAAGAAAGTTGTGCTGTGCTTTTTCATGGCTCTGGTAATTTTCCTGAATGTAACTGTTATGCTGTGGCATCGTGTATGTGATGAAATGCAGGAGAAAGGAAGAACTGCTCTGGGATTTGACAAGGAGACAAGAAGCCCTGAGAGAAAATGAAATCTCTCTGGCAGCTTGAGTGACTTCTGCTCTCCTGTGTAGGTAACTGGACACAAGTGAATTGCTGCTCAGGTCAGGCTGCTTATTCAGAAGAGCAGAGCAGTGTGAAGAGTAACTCAACAGGCAACTCTGCTTATTCCACATCCAGTTTTCAAAGGAATTCTGCCATTCTTTGGTAATGGTACCTGTTCAAATTTCCATCCGTCGGACATGGTGGACACCATCTGTGTGAGCTCTTCCTCTTGGCACTGCAGCACTCTGTACACATGTTTCACAGGTCCCTGGAGCACAGAGAACAATTGTTAAGTGTAGTTTAGTAATTGTTTTACTAGTATCACTCTATAAAATTAATAAGCAGCTCCAGCTCTCATCTTAGGAACTCAGAGCCCCACAGGCTTTTTTATCTCACCAATTCCAAAACAGAACCATATGCCTGGCACTCTTCTCTTAAAAGCTTTCTAGGTATCTAAGCTACAGTGAAAACAAAACTTCTTTAGCTTTCAAAGCCATTTACTGCTTTTTGAAAACATTTCTGAAATTGGATCTACTGGATGTGCTGATATCAGCTGAGCATCAACGGGAAACATTTCACAGAGAGACAAAGGGAAGAAATGGTTTAGAGAAGGAAGAGTTTGAGCTGTTCTTTGCCAAAACAGTATGTTTTGCTTTATAACCACCCATTTCTGCTCCTGGCTCCTCTCCTGTAAGTGTCCCTTGCCTTTCCCTACAGTGCTGAGATGACTCAGTGGTCTGTGCTTTATAAAGCCATACTGAGGACTCTTTGCTAGCCATGCCCTGCATCCACCTAACAGCATTTATTCCCCTGTTACTGCTGAACCAAGGAAATGCTACTGCAAGGGCTGCAGCCGTGCATGTCCTCCTGTGCCACCAAACTGACTCCGTAAGCCAGAGCTGCATTACTTGAGAGGTTCTGTTCTCGTTGTCCCGTATCCGCTCCTTCACCAGCCGCACCAGGGACGCGATGTTGTAAAACTCAGCCTCTTCCAGCACCCCTGAAGAGGAACCCAAAGCACAGATTCTGTTACTTTGCACAGGGTAGAATGAAGATGATTCTGTCACAAGGATGCAAACCTGCTGCTAACTCCAAATCTAGCCCAGATGTCAGAATCCCAAATGTGCCACCCACCTCCTGCTCTCAGGCTAGGAGAAAATGCCTGACTAGCTGTCACCTCCTTTTGTGACTTAAGAGGATCTTTAAGAAAAATTATTCCCCTTTCCCTGGATTTATCAGAAAATCTCATGGTACAATGTGCATTTCTTCACCCAGCCCCACCAAGGGAAAGCCCTCAGAGCTGCCTGTTTGGGAAGAACCATGGTCTGTAGCAGACCTTGGGCTCAGAACAGTGACAGGGTGTGCTGTGAGCTGCAGCCTCTGCTTTCAGGAAGACACAGAATCTGATGACTTAATCCCTTTCTAATGAGCAATTAACAGTACTAACAGCACTCCTGGGAAACTTGCTCACACCAGTGTATGGTGAGGGCTCCTGGATGTGCTATCAAACAGCACTTCCAGCCTTTCCTGCTGTTTTTGTCTTACCTTCCTCTGCAAGCTCCTTGTTGATGATGAGCTTCCCGTGCCGGAGGTAGTTCAGAATTGGACCAAAGTACGTGGGGTCTCTGTCAATGAGATAGGCCCCGGTCTCATCCTGAGAGCAAAACAGGGACGGCTCAGTGGTACCAGGAAAAAATCATTTCAATCTAACACAATCAAGTGAACAGTTTCTCTTTGAGAACCTGGATTCATTTGCCTGTGGGAGGTGTACAAATGATGCTACATTTAAGCCATTTTTCTTTTTCAGTATCTGATCTATGAACACAGCAGCCCCAGTAGGGCTGGCAGATGCCTTACATAAAGCACTTGTACACACAGGTTATGGACCTGGAGAAAAAAGCTGGGATTAGGAGAGCTTTTTCACTGCAGTAAGAACCAAAATCTGGTAGTTGTGCTCTGGCTGAGCCTATTCTCCAGACTAGTTTAACAAGGAAACTCTGGAGGAAAATGGGATCTCAAGTTCTAGCTAAGGGCACCTGACAGCCAAAACAGCTATTTTGTTTTTCTCTTTCCACTACTGCAAACACTCATTGCAATTGTCCAGCCATGTGTCCAGCAATACAACAACTACTGGCATTAAATAATCATCAACTGACAGCCAAAAGCATCTCCTGGGCAGCTTTGAAGCACAAGCCCTGTGCAGAACTCTCACATCCTTCTCTTAAGGACTTTGAAGCATTGTTCCTCCTGCCAATCTACTCTAAAGCAATAAAAAACCGTGTAAACCCACTCTGAAATATCTCCTCTCCTCACTGACGCTATTGACCGATATTTCAATCACAACCAGGATTTATCTTGTGAATAAACTCTGAATGAAGCAGCAACAGACTCGACTAATTCTGGCTGACCCACTCCCAACATATTTACAACGCCTTGTGCAGCTGATCCTATGGAAAATCTGCAATATCGAGAATAATTGTTTGCAAAATCCTTACAGAAAACTGCAGCGACTTCAAAACTGTCCAGCCATGCAAGGAATGTGCATCATGATCTTTGCTGAGAGTGAAATATATTAAAAACCAAACCAACAGCAAACATGCTCAGGATGAGAAATTGTAACATTCCCGTTTCTAGGAGTTTCCTTCCCTACTGTAACTACCGGGGGAATGTGGGTTGCTCCTTGAGCGCGGCCCATGGGAGCAGGAGGGATCGGAACCTGCGGCATCTGGGTGTCACAGGTCCTGTTCCTGGGGGTGCCGCCACCTCCCTGACCGTGCGACACGAGGGACAAGCCGCTGCTGTATCCGAGTGACGTGCTCCAAGCCGTGGGACACCGGCTCATTCCCAGCCCGGGCCCGGGGCCGTGCAGGAGCTCGGGGGCAGCGGCAGCCGGGGGTGCCCCCCGCCAGTGGGACAAACCGGGGCACCCCGGTGACACCAGCGACTCAAGGAGGGGCTGTCCCGGTACGGGGGTCCCGGCCCCGCCGCGGCCTCACCTTGTCGGAGCCGAGCTCGGGCCCGTCCTGGCAGCAGAGGCGGCACAGGAAGGACTTGGGCTCCCGGCACAGCGTTTGCCGGGTGCTCACGAAGTACGTGCCGCCCACGTTCAGCCGCACCCACTTGGAGGCGGCGGCGGCGGGCGGGGACAGCGCCCCGGCGGATCCCGCCGCCGCTCCTGCCGCGCGGGGGCTGGGCGGTCCCGGTGCCCCGCCGGGACCCGGGCTGGGCGTGCGGCCCCTCGGCGGCCCCTCGGCCATGGCGGAGCCTCAGCGCCCGCCCGCCGCCATCGCCGCCCGCGCCGCTTCCGCCCGCGCCGCTTCCGGGCGGGATGACGCGCGGCGGATCCGCGCTCTGATTGGGCGGCGGGAGCGCGGGGGGCGGAGCTTCCGGCGGCGGGACGGCGGTGTCGGTCAGTGAAGGTGAGAGCGGGGCCGGGGCCGGGGGCGGCTCGGGAGAGGGTCCCGGGCACCGGGAGCGGCTCGGGAGTCCCGGGGCTGGGGGGCAGGACGGCTTGGGGACGTCCTCGGTGTTGGGAGGCTGGTGGGAGAGCGCGGGGGCCAGCGTGAGGTTGCGGCGGGGCTCAGGAGCGACCCCTGTGTCCCGATCCCCCCGTGTCCCCGTTCCGTGACCGACCCTTTCCGTGTCCCCGTGTCCCGTCCCATCCCGCCCTCTCGGTGCCCCGTTCCCCAGCCCCGCTCCGCGCTCCCGCCGCCGCTGTGACCCACCGGTGTCTCCCGGGCCAGGCGGAGCCATGGCGGGACGCAGAGCTGCCCTTAAGGCCGTGGACTGGGCGGCCTTCGCTGAGCGGGTGCCTCCGAACCAGCGAGCCATGTTCAACGCGCTGAAGACCCGCAACGATGCGCTGACAGCCCGGTGAGTGCCGTGCCCGGTGAATGCCGTGCCCGGCCCGGTGAGTGCCGTGCCCGGTGAGTGCCCGGCCCGGTGAGTGCCCGGCCCGGTGCCCGTCCCTCTCAGCCCTCGCCCAACACCGGCTGTCTGTCTGTTGTTCTCTGCTCCCGCAGCAGTGGCCTCGCAGGTATTGAATCGGGTCACCTTGAGGCAGCTGCTGGCTTTTTTTGGCAAATCACGTTTAGTTAATCTTCCCCAGAGTAAACCCGTAGCTGCAGTTCTGTAAACGCACCTTGCTTTGGCTCAAGCTTTGTCACTGTTAAATGCTCTGCAAATTCATCTGTGGTTCTCAAATCCTTTACATTCAAGTGCTGGCTGTTGCAGGGTATCTTGCTGATTGTCTCTGGCTCAGCGTTGTGAAACAGCCTCATTCTTCCTCAAGGGCTGCACCCAGAGGGGCTGAGTGAAGCAGGGCAGAGCTGCAGGCTGAGCTCTGCCTGTTCCAAGGGCAGAGGGATTTGCAGAAATGGCTTGTTTCAAACCTGGGAACACCCAAACTAAACACAGCAGGCTGTGCTGATGCTCAGGCTGCTGCTCATGTATGCTGTGCTCCATCCTTTCAGGTTGGCTGCCCTGCCAGAGAAGCCCCCAGCCATTGACTGGGCTTTCTACAAAGCTAATGTTGCCAAGGCTGGAATGGTGGATGAGTTCCAGAAGAAGGTCAGTCTCCTTGCCAGATGGGTATTGCTCTTTAGAGTTTAATTGGGCCATTGAGAGGAAAACACCAGGATCAGCGGAGGAGCTTGGTTGTGTCACTATGAAAATTTGCCTCCCAGGACTGGAGGCACCCACTGAGCTCAGATGGGTCTGGGAGCTTTGTGCTGAGGGCAATAACTCTGTGATAGGGTAAGTCTGTGCTGTTGGACCTTCCAGCTTCCTTACAGTGCTGTGAGGATTGGGTGGTGGTGTGTGTCCTGGGGGTGGGGGACAGGACAGAGGAGATGTCTGGAAGCTCCTGGGTGAGGAATTGCTGCTTGGGAGGGACAGGGACAGCTGCACTGATCACTTTTAGCTCATTAACATACACGGTTGTGAACAAATCCTAGGAAGACATGAGGAAATGCTCCCCTGCTGCTAGGGAAGGTGACCTCGATGTGAAGGATTGTTTCAGTCAAACAGACCTTAAAAAATTTGTCTTTCAATTTACAGTTCAGTGCACTAAAGGTTCCTGAGCCTGTGGATACACAAACTGCCAAGATTGATGCCCAGGAGAAGGAAACTGTAAGTGAACCATTCACTGCTGCTGGGATTGTCCCTGCCTTCTGTGGGGATGGGGAGGGGATGTTCTGGATGTGCCCCTGCACAGAGCCAGGGCACAGCTCTGCCTTCACACATCCCTGGCTTTCTGAGCACAGGGAAGGTTTTGGCTGTTTGGGGTCTGCTGGAGATTCCATCAGTTACCCAGTGTAACAGTGATGGATTTTAATGCCAACTGAAAATACGGTGGGGGCCGTGTGCAGGTTCACTGTGGGTCAGTGTCCTTGTCATAACCACTCTCCCCATGTCCTCTGCTCTCTCCAGGCCAAGAGCACTGCTGAGTACATCCAGGCTTCCAAGGCCCGCATCGCCCAGTACGAGCAGGAGGTGAGGCTGGACTTTGCTTAGGGAACATTCTCTGGAGCACACCCCTTGCTCTCCTGGGTGTGCTTTGCTCCTTCCTGCTGACCACTGACTTGTGTCTGTCCCTGCTTCCACAGCTCCAGAAGCTCAAGAGCATGATTCCCTTTGAACAGATGACGTATGAAGACTTGAGTGAAGCCTTCCCTGAAACCAAACTGAACAAGGAGAAATATCCATACTGGCCCCACAAGTCAATTGCTGATCTGTAAACTGGTCGGGGAGCAGTTTAATGACTGTCAGACTTCATGATCTTCTAAATAAAGAGCTTTCTCTGTCTGTGGCTTAGATCTTAGACGTGAGTTCTGAGTAACGTGGAGCAATACAGTAATTCAAAAACAATCCACTTTTCCTGGATTTTGTGTTTTCTACTCATGAGTTTTGGTAGCAGGGGACCAAGCTCCCTGTCCTGCTGGTCAAAGTGAGCCCTGTGAAATGCAAATAAACCTCCTGTTCCTGTCTGTAACCACGAGGTGCAGGGAATGTTCTCCTGTCCTTGCAGGCAGACACTTGCTCAGAAGTTGAACGTGTGTAGTCCTTTGAGATGCTGGAGTGTATTTGGTAGTGATTTGTGTGTGTCTGGAGTGTTTCAGGCACAGGTCTGGCACTGTTTTCTGGGCTGATTGTGATTGTTTAGGAAAAGCCAATTGTAAAAGGAGTTGAAGGAGTGCTGGTGTGTTGAGATGCACATAAAAAAGCTACTTTTTTAGTAATTTCTAAAAACTCTTTAATCATGGTGCTTCTTTTCTCTGCCTTGGATTCTGCATGCTGCTGATCTCACTGGAAGTTACACAAACAATAGTAAAGACTTGTATTATTTAATAATCTGAGGTGGAATTCTTAAACACCTTCCCTCAAGATGGAAACTCCTCTAAGAGAAGGCAGTCAACTCCCTTTCTTGCTAGTATTTGAGGACAGAATTACAGATATGTAGAATGAAGGTGTTATCCTCAGATTTTACAACTGTTTTATTAAAATACCTTAGTAGCCCACAGAATATTTCAAGAACATCTGTAGTTCTACTGTACCAGAGTACAAAGCACTATGCATGCAGATCTTGGATCCTGTGACTTTGAATTTGAATTTAATTTTATTTTATTCAGGAGACTGAACTGCAGCTCTATGAATTGACCAAGAGCAAATTACAGCAGGGGGTCAGAAGCCACACAGTAGAGAACAACTGAGCTGGCACTGGGCAGAGCTGATGTTCAGCTGCTCCATTTTATAGAAACCACAGTAAAAAAGAACAGGGACAGGAAGAGGTGGCCGAAGAGAAGCACCTTCTCCAGAACTGGAAGAAACGGGTCCAGCTCCTGCAGCCGCCAGAGGTGCCTGGTAGGCTGCCCTTGTCCCTGGGCCTTCTTGGGAGGGGGCAGCAGCTGGGGACCCGCCTGGGCCAGGGTGCCCGTGGGTCCCTTGGGCAGCTCCTGTGGGTCTGCAGGGAGCAAAGGGCAGCATCAGCACAGGGGGGCACCTTGGCCCACATTGTTTGTCCCTGAGGAAGCTCACCCTGGCTCCGCCAAACATGCAGGGAAATGCCCCAGAGCTGCTCTGTTACAGGTGTTAGGGGTGTTTTACCTTGCTGGAAGCTTCTGAGGACCTTGTCCAAGCGCAGGGATTTGCGCTGCTGGTACAACAGGAAGAAGGTGTCTAACACAGCCATGATCATGAGCAGGAAGGTGCCCAGGAAAAACACCACTGCAGAACAACAGGAAAACAGAAAGCTCTGGGTAATTGGCATTTTCTTATATTCCATTACCTGGTGGGGAACAGGGAAGGTTTAACTCCAGCAAGCTAATCAAGCTTAGCTGTTCATGACTTCAGTGTTCATGAACGTGTCTATAAACACCCAAAAACCTTCCTTAGGGCTGGTACCTGGGTGAAAATCAGGTTTAATTGAATCAAGGTGGGTACCTATTATGGGTGGCTTGTTGGAGGAAGTTGGGAGGCTGTTGTTGAGAATCACAGCCAGCATGGAGCTGCCGAGGATGATGGCAATCTGGAAGTTGATTTTCTCCTCGAGAGAGCTGGGACCAAACAACACAGCCATGTCCAGCAAGTACAGGGCACACGTTGGGAGGATCAAGTTCAGAATGTAGAGAGTGGGTCGTCTCTCCATGGAAATCTGTTGAGGAAGATGGGCAAAATTTGATGAGCAGGAGATGACTCAATGTATTGACAAATGTTGGTCCCCTAATGTAAAAAATTATCTTGTTTTATACTGGAGTTTTTTGGTGCCAAAACAGTGCAATATAATATGGAAGTGCCGCCATACCACATAGGTGACCACAGAAAATCCTTTGTCATCCATCATTGCCGTGAATTCCATGATGCTCAGGTTGGTAAACTTCCATTCTCCATCAGTTAGGATTAAACTCCTGCTGTCTTTCATGATCTCAGCTGGCGTCCGTCTCGTCTTCATGACAAAGTCTGTTACTGCTTGGGCAGGAGGCAGAGGGGAGAGGGAAGTTGAAGAATTTAGGAATTTGTTAGAGGTCAGTTACTCCTCTCCCTTTCCCACCCAACTGAGGGTGTATGCAGAAAGGAAGGGGGAAGGTTCATGCACTGCTCGGGTTTCTCAGCCCGTGAGGGAGAAATTAAAAAGGTCTCTGTGAAGATGCTTGGCTGGACCTCTGGGAATGTGGATCAGAGGGGAAACATCTGTTGAATTAGGGCAGTTGTCCTTTGTGGATGGGACTGGGGAGATTTTGTGTTACCTCTGCTTATATTTCAGCCCTTCCTGTAGCGGTGAACTCTAACTGCAGTTTGAATCCCTGAAACTGTCCTTTTAATAGTTGTATTTTATGCCCTTGGAAATATTTTCCAACCCTAGGATTCTATGATTAATTTCCCCCCACTTCTATGGCTTTCAGGTGTGTTTAAAGATCAATCCTGCAAAATTCTATGTGAACAAGTAGCAGCTTTGCAGGAATCCTCCTGGTCTCGTGTCTCTTGGTTTGTAGAAACCATTCCTGGGAGGGGCTTGCCACAGAACATCTGGATTGTTCCAGAAATGTTGCTGGGAAATGTGCCAGGACAGAATGGCAGCATTTTAACTCATTTTCCCTGGTTTCATATGACCTCAACCCCGCTGTGAGCATGTGGGGCTGCTCAGGAACCCAGGAGTTATCTAGTCCTCCTTCTCCAAAGTCAGCCCAGAGGTGGAAAAGCTCAGCCTGCAGCTGTACCTGGGTAGAGGAATGAAGCTACGCTCAAGTTGCACATCTGGGTGTCGAAGGGGAACTTGAGGATTATCAAACTGCAAGTCAGGGTGACCTGGTAGGGCCGGGTGGAGTTGAAGCTGCCGTTGTGCATGAGGACCACGTAATTCAGCTCAGGGTTTTGCCCGTTCACTCTGGAGGGAGCAGACAGGGAGAGTAACTGAGCCTGAGATGCTGCCTGTGCCTCAGTCCCATAAAACCAGGCTGTGAACACCCTGTTGGGGGGCTCTTAGCCATCACCCAGCCATGGGATGCAGCAGGAAGAGAGGAAACCAGGGAAAAGGGCCCATGAGCTGTAGCTCTGCACCTCCTGCCTCTCTGCCCTCTGCTTCCTGGCCTCACCAGGGCAGGGGCTCATTCCTGGCTCTGCCTCCCACTCCTTTCTCCCTCTGGAGAGCTGGTGGAGGTGCCCATCCCTCTGTCAGACCCTCAGTATCTTTCCACACACTACTAGAGGTCACTTTATTCCACAGCAGCGCTGGTTTCTGCTGCTTCCTCGGCTTTAGCTACAGCCCAGACGGGATATTCCAGGAGCTGTTACAGTATTACACAGCCATTAAGTGCTTTGTATAAACTGTGGTCACCATTAATCTAAATTAGGAGGCTCTTGGTTACAGAGACCTCAAGGGAGGAACTTTCAGCCATCTGAGTTTGTCCCATTTCCTATCATATAACCAACAGTTTCTATCCTTTGTACTTCTGTTAAGGCAGCAGATAAAAATGAAAGGGGAACATACCGCTCTAAGAAGAAGATGGGGGGCGACCAATACGTATCCATGGGCAGAACAATTTCAGAGATGTTACAGAAATCCCGTGGGTTCCAGGTTGCAAAAGGGTTCTGCCATTCCTGAGGGAAGAAGTTGCAGGAGAGAGATGAGCTCTGGGCTAGGCACCAGGCGTTGTGTTGGGCATCAGGAGAGAAACGCTCTTGAGGGACTTACCAGGTTCAGGACGAAGTAAAAACTGACTGTCTGGAGCTTTTCCACCTGGAGAAACATAGATATTTAGCTGATTTTCTTAGATGAATCCAACACAGAAGCTCTTCCCTGAGCACAGACTGCAGTAACAGGGCTTAGGAAGAGAGCTCGTGGCTCTTGGTCCTACAGCTGAACAGTGGGAGCACACAGTCCAATGGTTAGGAAAAATAAGAGATTATTTCCATGGCAGTGTCCTGCAAATGCGCTGCCCAGTTCAGGCACTCTGCAGGGTGTTTGGAGCCTCCTACAAAGCAGGCTTGTCTAAATGTGACTTCTGGAAAGAGTGAGAGAAAATACCCCAGATCTTCCAAAAGTGCTTTCCAACAGCAGAAAGCTGAAGTGGAAGGGGCTGATTCTCACCCCTGTGGATTTGCTGTCGGAAGACTCAAACTCTGGCCTAGTAATAGCCCAGTTTCCTGTTGTAAAGGCTCATTTTGGGTCCTTACCACAGAGAGAATTGCCACCAGAAAAAAATCCATGGTCACTTCCACAGGCTCCTGCAAGTCTTTCTTGGGCAGAATGTACGTGTGCAGCTTGTTGTGAGAGGAGATGTTCAGGTAGTCAACAATGTCATAGTAGGTGCAGAGGTACTTTGGAGCAGCCCCTGCTGGAAAGAGAATTCCACTTGAAACACAAAAACATCAGGCAACTTTCGAGAGATGCATCAAAAAAGAAAGGGTGTGGAGCTGTGGATGTGAAAAACATCATTAACACACAGAAATCCCTTCTCAAACAGATGAGAACAGAATTCCTCAAAGGCTTTCTATCCCCCTTGCACTTACCTGTCCCAAGAGAAAAGGTGAGGATGGCTACAAAAACTCTCTGCATCATCTCCTGCTTCCAAATAAGGAGGAGAATGGTACTGTGTATCTTTATGAACCAGTCCAGAACACGTCATTTGTTATGTGATGTTGATTTGATATTTATTAATGAGGGATGGATTTTTGTAAACAGACATTTTATCTCTTAGAAGGAAGAATTTGCTAATGGTTTGATGCACTCAGCTGGCTCTTGGGAGTAGCCTTTAGTTGTGGTCAAGGAAAAATAAGGTCATTAAAAAAAACAATCCAACAATTTGAAGGAGAGGAAAAGAAAGGGCTCATCTCCACAAAGAAGAGGCAAAGAGCCAGAGCTACTCAGTAGCAAATTTAGTCTCATTTACAGGGCTGAGAGTTTGCTGCAACCCCAGTGAAAAGGATCAGGAATTAGTGCTTGTGTGACTGAGGGCTGCTGGGGGAGGCTGCTCTCCTTTGAGCCCTGTCCTGCTTCCCAGCAGACCACACTGTGTCATTTCCCACTGAGCCCTCCATGCACCTGTGGATTTTCTGGTTCTGCCTCCTTGCTGATCTCCCATGCTCCTTATGTTCTTTTCTGAGTCCTCACAGTTAAGATGAAATGCTCAGAGATTTCTTTTTTTTTTTTATCTGTCTGTGTTTTCCTCTGCTGCCCACCTCTCCATCTCTTTTTTTTTTCCTGCTGCCATCCCAGTGATCCTTGTGGGTCCCTTCCAAACCAGGATATTCCATGATTCTCTGATTCTGTGAATGGTTCCAGTCAGCAAGTTCCACACTTGATTCCCCCTCCGGCAGCAGAATTCCCTGTGGCAGTGGATGGTCCTTCAGCCGTG